CGTAACTGTCAAAGATTATTTTTTTCTGTGTGTAAACATTTTCTTGAGTTTTTATAATAGTGGTCTCATCAATATTTGTCCTTTTGTGATTGACTTCTTTCACTCAGCATAATGCCTTCCAGATTCATTCATGTTATGAAATGTTTCACAGATTCATCATTGTTCTTTATCGTTGCCTAGAATTTCACTGTATTTATGTAGCATAATTTGTTCATCCATTCATTTGTTGATAGGCACTTAGATTGTTTCCATCTTTTTGTTATTGTGAATAATGCTGCAGTGAACATGGGTGTGCATTTATGTCTATTTGTGTGACACTTATTTCTCTAGGATACATTCTTAGAAGCAGGATTGCTGGATCATATGGTATTCCTATTTCTAGCTTCTTAAGGAGGCGCCGTATCGTTTTCTATAGTGAATGTACCATTTTACATTCCCACCAGTAGTGCATAAGAGTTCCAGTCTCCCCACAATCTTTCCAACAATTGTTATTTTCTGTTTCTTTTTTTTTTTAAATTAGTGCCAGTAATGTCAGGATGAGGTGGTATCTCGTTTTGATTTGCGTTTCTCTAATGGCTAATGCTCATGAGCATTTCTTCATTTCTTCATGTGCCCATTAGCCACCTGAATATTTTCTTTGAAGTGTCTGTTCATATCCTTTGCCCATTTTTTAATTGGATTATTTGTCTTTTTGTTGTTAAGGTGTTGAAGTATTCTGTAGATTTTAGAGATTAGACCCTTGTCGGATATGTTGTAGCCAAAAATTTTCTCTTTTTACTCTTTCGGTGAAGTCTTTTGATGAGCGTAGGTGTTTAATTTTTAGGAGCTCCCAGTTACCTAGTTTATCTTCTGGTGTTTGTGCATTGTTAGTTATGGTGTGTATTATATTTATGCCATATATTAGGGCCCCTCGCATTGTTCCTATTTTTTTCTGCCATAATCTTCATTGTTTTATGTTTTATATTTAGGTCTTTGATCCATTTTCAGTTAGTTTTTGTGTATGGTGTGAGGTATAGGCCCTTTTTTTTAAGGGATAGACATCAAGTTTTGCCGGCAATGCTTGTTAAAAAGACTATCTTTTCCCCACTTAATGGACTTTGGACCTTTGTCAAATATCAGCTGACCATAGGTGGGTAGGTTTACATCTGGGTTCTCAATTCTGTTTGATTGGTCAGTATGTCTGTCATGCCAGTACCAGGCTGTTTTGACTACCATGGCTGTATAGTAGGTTCTGAGATCAGATAGTGTGAGGCCTCGCACTTGGTTCTTCTTCTTCAGTAGTTCTTTGTTTATACAGAGCTTCTTTTCCTTTCCATGTAAAGTTGGTGATTAGTTTTTCCATTTTATTAAAGAATGCTGTTGATATTTGGATCGGGATTGTATTATATCTGCAGATCGCTTTGGGTAGAATTGACATTTTCACAATGTTGAGTCTTCCCATCCATGAGCATGGTATATTTTTCCATTTATGTAGGTCTCTTTTGCTTTCTTGCAGTAGTGTTTTGTAGTTTTCTTTGTGTAGGTATTTTACGTCCCTAGTTAGATTTATCCCTAAGTATTTTGTCTTTTTAGGGGCTATTATAAATGGCGTTGTTTTCCTAATTTCCTTTTCAAAGTTTTCTTTGTTGATGTATAGGAATCTAACTGATTTTTATATGTTGATCTTGTATTCTGCTACTCTGTTGAATCTTTCTATTAGTTCCAGTAGTTTTCTTGTGGAATCTTTGGGGTTTCTCTATGTTTAGGATCATGTCATCTGTGAATAGGAATAGTTCTACTTCTTCCTTAGCAATTTGGATATCCTTTATTTCTTTTTCTTGCCTTATTGCTTTAGCTTGGACTTCCAGCACAATGTTAAATAGGAGTGATGATAAAGGGAAGGGCATCCTTGCTCTCTTCCTGTTCTCAAGGGGAATGTTTTCAGCCTCTCTCCATGAGAACATTGTTGGCTGTTGGTTTTGTATTGATGGCCTTTATTATGTTGAGGAACTTCCCTTCTATTCCTATTTTATTGAGAGTTTTTATCAGGAATGGGTATTGGACTTAATTGAATGCCTTTTCTGTGTCAATTGAGATGATCATGTGATTCTTTTGTTTTGTTTATGTGGTGGATTATATTGATTGATTTTCTAATGTTGAACCATCCTTCCATACATGGTATGAATCCCGCTTGGTCGTGGTATATATATATTTTTTAATATGATGCTGAATTCTATTGGCTAGAATTTTGTTGAGAATTTTTGCATTTATCTTCATGAGCATTACTGGTCTGTAATTTTCTTTTGTGTAATGTCTTTGCCTGGTTGTAGTATCAGAGTTATGCCGGCTTCATAGAATGAATGTGGAAGTATCCCTTCCTTTTCTATGCTCTGAAATAGTTTGAGTAGTTCTGATGTGAGCTCTTCTCTGAATGTTTGATAGAATTCTCCAGTGAAGTCATCTGGGCCAGGACTGTTTTTTTGTTGGGAGTTTTTTTAATTACCTTTTCAGTCTCTTCTCTTGTTATGGGTTTGTTCAGATTTTCTACCTCACTTTGTGTTAGTTTAGGTAGGTAGCGTGTTTCTAGAAATTTGCTCATTTCTTCTAGGTTTTCAAATTTGTTAGCGTATAGTTTTTCATAGTACTCTCTTATGACCCTTTCAGTTTCAGTTGGGTCTGTTGTGATAGCTCCCATCTCATTTCTTATTCAGGTTATTTGCTTCCTTTCCTGGTTTTCTTTTGTTGTTTGGCCAAGGATTTGTCGATATTTTCAAAGAACCAACTTTTGGTCTTGTTGATTCTTTCCATTGTTTTTTCTGTTCTCTATTTCATTTATTTTTGCTCCAATCTTTATTATTTCTTTTCTTCTGGTGCCTGTGGGCTTCTTTTGCTGTTCTCTATTTGTCCAAGTTGTAGGGCTGATGTTTTGATTTTGGCCCATTCTTTTTTGCTGTGTGCATTTATTGCTATAAATTGACCTCTGAGCACTGCGTTTGCTGTGTCCCGAAGACTTTGGTATGACGTGTTTTCATTCTCATTTGATTCTAGGAAATTTTTTATTCCCTCTTTGGTTTCTTCTATTACCCACTTGTTTTTAAGCAAGGTGTTATTCAGTTTCCATGTATTTGATTTTTTTCCCTTGGTCTTTTCTGTTATTGATTTCTACTTTTATGGCATTGTGATCAGAAAGAATGCTTTCTTCGTATTATTTTGATGTTTTGGATTTTATTGAGGCTTGCTTTGTGGCCTAAAATGTGGTCTATTCTGGAGAATGTTCCATGTGCATTAGAAAAGAGTGTATAGTTTTCTGCTGTTGAGTGGAGTGTTCTGTATGTGTCTATGAGGTCAGGTTGGTTAATTGGGGCCTTTCAATCTTCTGTATCTTTGTGGAGTTTCTTTCTAGATGGTCTGTCCTTTACCGTGAGTAGGGTGTTGAAGTCTCCTACTATTTTTGTGTAACTGTCTATCTTTTCAGTGCTGTTAGAGTTTGTTTTATATATTTTGGAGCCCTGTCATTGGATACATAGATATTTATTATGGTTATGTCCTCATGGTGGATTGTCCCTTTAATCATTATATAATGTCCTTTCTTGTCTTTTATGGTTGATTTTGCCTTAAGTCTATTTTATCTGAGATTAATATTGCCACTTCTGCTCTTTTTTGGTTACTCTTTGCTTATTTTATTTTTTTCTATCCTTTGATTTTTAATATGTTTATGTCTGTATGTCTAAGGTGTGTCGCTTGTAGACAGCATATTGACGGATCCTGTTTTTCTTATCCGTTCTGCCACTGTCTGTCTCTTTATGGGTGCATTTCAGCCATTTACATTCAGGGTGATTATCGGTTTATTGCAGTCGTTTTGTAGTGCTTTTTTTTGTGGTGCTGATGTTTTCTTTGTTCCTCTTACTCTTGTGTGCTGAGTTCCTTTTGTTTGTGGATTTTCTTTTCTTTCACTATTATAGATTTTGTGTTTACTGAGTCTTTATATTTTTCTTTTTAATTTTGATGAGTAGGTTTGCTAACTTTCTTTGTGGTTACCTTGAAATTTACCCTTATCTTCCAAAGTTTGAACCAGTCTTTCGTTTCTTGTTATTGCCTTGAGTTCCTCTCCATCTGAAAGTTCTATACCTACACTATGTATTCCCGCTTTTATTGCTCTCATGTCATCATTTACAGATTGACATCTGTTTCCCTTAAACAGGTTTCTTTATTACAGCACTTCTCAGTGTCTTTAACACAGTGTTGCAATGAAATATCTACACAGTTCATAAGACAAATGCTGCTTGGAGGTGGCTGTTAGCAGGGAAGCTGGGCTAGGGGGTGGGCAATTTGAACTTTTTAAACTTCAAGGTAACTGAGACATTAAAGACAGACTCTTCTACCTCTTTCAATATATGTTGTTAAACTGTGTATGCATTTTATTAGGATATTCTGAATACCAGTTTGTATTGCGAATATCCAAGAGAAGATAGAAGTATGCCGCTTTTCTCAAGTTATTGGACCATATATGTAGTCCTAGTAAAGGAGCCCTGGTTGCTCAGTGGTTATAAGCGCTCGGCTGCTAACTGAAAGGTCGGCTCTTCAAACCCACTGGTTGCTCTGTGGGAGAAAGGTATGGAAGTCTGCTTCCGTAAAGATTTACAGCATTGGAAACCCTATGGGGCAGTTCTACTCTGTCCTTTAGGGTCACTATGAGTCAGAATCAACTTGATGGCAATGCTCATCTGGGCTCATTGCTAAGTGCTGTGTGTATGTTACCATGTTTAATCCTCAGGACTACCTCGTCCACCGTGTGAACTGTGATGATCCCTATTCTACAGGTGGTGAGCCCGAGTCTCACAGAGAGGCTTAGTAACTTGCCCAGCAGACCTGTGGCGTTTAGGACGTGCCAGTGCAGGACTTGTGCCCAGGGGTATCTGACCCTAGAGCCCCACCGTGGTCTTCTAATCTCCCAGGTCTGCAGGCAGCAGATGGATACTGCTGTTGGCTCTCTGGGGTAAGCTTGCTTTTCTCTTACTCAGAGCCACAATCATGTCTCTGGAAGACTTTGAGCAGCGCTTGAATCAAGCCATCGAAAGAAATGCCTTCCTGGAAAGTGAACTTGATGAGAAGGAGAATCTCCTAGAATCCGTCCAGCGACTGAAGGATGAAGCCAGAGGTCAGGAGGCGCTCGACATTGTTCCGAGTTCCTTCACTAGATCGTCCCCTCAGCCCACTTGAGAGCACCTTGTCCTATTGCCTGGCCAGTGCGATGTGACATTTGCTGGAAATCTGCCCTGTACCCTGTACGCAGGTGTCTGGTCAGAGAGCATGGGGCATTCTGGGCAGGGGGGCCCAGGGCTAAGAATGGCTGGACGCCCAACCCTGTGAGGCCCCTGTGGGCATTTCCGGATACAGTTTTAGAGCTCACAGGTGATGCCCTTGTGTTTGGGTTGTGCCTCCGGGCAGCAGAATTCACTTCAGAAGAGATCTCCCTGGTCTGTACCTCATGCATGTGCCACCCTAGCTTTGTGCTTGGTGGGAGCATCCGAGTTTTGTGGGAGAGCAATTCTGTTGGTGCAGTTGCTAGCTAGCATCTTATTTTTGTGACTTGATGACAACACTGCATTTGTCTTGGACCTCTGAAACCTCTAACCTTTCGAGGTTAGCAGTTCCAGCAGGAGAACTTCCAAACGGGAACGAGACATGAGTAAATCATCCACATTGGGTGCATAAGAGGTTTTAAGAAGTCCCAAATAATTGTTTATAACATTAATTTGGTATCTAATGTAGATAGGGGATTAAAAGGAAGGAACTTATCATTTTAAAAGATAGTTTGTTCCTAAATGCCCATCGGTAGTACAGTGGTTACATGAATCATACAGATTTATTTTGTGGAATGTTAAACAGTTGCTAAAATGAACACGGTAACAATCTAAATGTAGTCATAGAAAGATTGCCATGACATACCATCGAAGGGGGGATTAGACAGTAAGTGTTCCGTGTTTCCATTTATGCCTAATGAGAATTATTCATATTATACATTTAATCAGCTTACACAGACACACAAACTGTAGGTATGAAAAGGCAGATAAAAAGGGTTGAAAGGATCTACCAAATGCTGTACTGATTGTTTATGTACGAGGAGGGGCATTTTGGGATGGGTTGGGAGAACAATACTTTGATTTCGTATTCTGTATACACTACTGCGTTGGAATTCCTTTTGAAAAAAAAAAACAGTAAAGGTATTAGTGTATCACTGTCATAGTTTTAAGGAGCCCTGGTGGTGCGTTGGTTTAAGTGTTCAGCTACTCACTGAATGTTTGGTGGTTCGAACCCAGCAGCTGCACTCTGCAGGAGAAAGATGTGGCAGTCTGCTCCTGTAAAGATTGTAGCCTTGGAAACCCTGTGGGACAGTTCTTCTCTGTCCTGTAGGGCTGCTATGAGTTGGAATCAACTCAGCAGCAGTGGGTTTGGTTTGGTTGGTCATAGTTTTTGTTTTAATTTAAAACTTTTTGTTTTTTACTCAACAGAAAAATCTTGTAGTTTTTACAAGTTCATTAGGGCTGTGGGTTTCACTTCATTTAGTTTCTCCCTGGAGTTTTTCATCTTGGGAGGTCTTTTCCTGGCCGGTGTCTAGTGTTGTCCCCCACCCCCACTCCACCAAAGCAAGGACTTCACCTGAAAAGAGGGTGACCTCCCTGAATCCTTTTCTGGCTCAGATTTGCGGCAGGAATTGGCCGTGCAGCAGAAGCAGGAGAAACCCCGAACCCCCATGGCCAGTGCAGTGGAAGCTGAAAGGACGGACACCGCTGTCCAGGCCACTGGCTCCATGCCGTCCACGCCCATCGCTCATCGAGGACTCGGCTCAACCTTCAACACACCAGGGACCTTCAGACGTGGTAAGGGGAAGGGGGAACTGGCAAGATTGATGTTCTGTTTCATGAAGCTTTCCAGGGTTAGAACCTGGGGTGAGTCCTAGGTGAGAGATGATTTGGACCAGGCTGCCAGCAGGGGAGCAAACTGGGATGCTTGCAGGGCAGCATCGAGGTAAAGGCAGACGCATCCTGGGTGTGAGGCCGTGGGGGGCGGTGGAGTCTGTGCTACCCCTTTCCTCAACCACAAGGAATGTGAGCCCAGCATTAATAGATTGTTCATTCTCCACAAGAAGCTAGAAATCCTCTTTTGAATATGGAATTCCCCAGATGTAAAGTGTCAGTAACCAAATAAAAATTTTTGAAAGCATTTTATGGGCCCAGCAATGCATCCCCCTAGAGACTGTTTCCAACCTTTGGGCCCCAGATTGTAACCTGTGCTGTGCGGTCAAATCCAAGAAATTCAAGTTATCACCCCAGCCCCTCTGCTGATTGATGAACTCTGAGACTATGATCAGGCCACTTGATGGCAAATAATCATAAGAGACAAATTGTTGAGCGCTCAGTATGCACCAGGCACTGTGCTTAGGGTGCTTTGCACATGTATCCTCATTGCATCCTCACTGCAGCCCCATGATGCAGACTATTCTCATCCCCATTTGGGGGTGAGGAGACAGAAGTGCTGAAGTTAAGGAGCTTGCCTGCAGTCACACAACTAGTAAATGGCAGAGTTGGGGTTCAAACCCAGGCAGGCTGGTTCCAGAGCCTTATATGCTATATTCTGTCTTACCCCTTGAGGAGCCCTGGTGGCACAGTGGTTAAGCCCTTGGCTGCTAACTAAAAGGTTGTTGGTCGAACCTGCCAGTGGCTCTATGGGAGAAAGACCTGGTGAGCTGCTCCCATAAAGATTACAGCCTAGGAAACCCTGTGGAGCAGTTCTACCCTGTACTGTAAGGTCGCCATGAGTCGGAATCAACTCAATGGCAGTGAGGTAATGGGCCTTAGACTTTAACTTGTTCCCTGGGGTGAAGAGACTGATGAATTCCCAGAATCACAGTCTAGAGCAGGATATTTCCCATGCTACTATACAGGCAGTTTACTGGGGGATCTTTTTAAAATGCACCTCAGTTTAGGAGTTCTGGGCTGGGGCCTGACCACACTTTGAGTAGAGTATGGCCCTTATAAATGTGGCTCACTTGCTTGTTCTCTCTCTCTCTACATGTATGTGTGTGTGTCTACATGAATATATATATATAGCACTCATCGCAGATGCTGTTAACGTTAACTATATTTGTAGAGTTTCAAGAGGACTTGTTTTGATTTTATTTAAAACTAGCAACATGTAAAAATAAATGTTTAACGTAGCCATTATAAGGACTTGAAACGCTGGTCATCAGATAGACTTGTGGTGTGTTACACAGTGAGCTAACAGATAAAGAGGTCAGCATCCTTTTGGAGCTTCCCTCCCCCACCCCGTGGTTTCTTATCCTGAGATGTTAGTACACAGCGATTACTGTGGGCTGACGTCACGTGCACTCCCCTTTGCACATCCCAGGTCTGGATGACTCCACTGGCGGGACCCCGCTCACGCCCGCGGCCCGGATATCTGCCCTCAACATCGTGGGAGACCTGCTCCGGAAAGTAGGGGTAAGACCGGTGTGCTCATGGGGTTCCGTGTGGCTTCTGCCTGTCTTTCAGGATATTTGGGAGGGTTAATTTTACTGGCTCCTCCACCCTTTAAGAGAGCCCTCATAAGTTTTAGGTGTGGTCCTAGTTCTTTCGAGTCCCTTAGAATCATCAGAGCTAAGTAGTTCTTCTCTTCAATATTAGAGAGATGAAGGGTTCCCTAGAAACATAGACCCAGTGAGGGTGTGTGTGTGTGTTTGTGTTTGTGTGTGTATGTGTACGTACATGTACATACGTATACACCCAGAGAGGGAGGCGGAAGGGAGAGGGAGACAGCTTCTTGTGGGATGTTCATCTTCCCTTTCATTCCTGGATCTCTTTCTTTCCCTGTACAATTTTTTCTTTAGGCCATTTGGGAAATTAGGATGGTGTCTGTTTTTTCTTAATTTGAAAAAACTGAGGGGCATTTAAAATTTCTCTCTATTTCTGAGGGAGTTTAAGAGACAATCTTGAAAGGATATAGTAAGGAACTTGAGCTCACAGGTTTTATATTAATTACAGGGAGGGTTTCTTCTGTGCTTAAGAAATAGCATAGGCGTTCCTGTAGTTGTCTCCTTTATATTTAAAAGTGGTACCTGGAAGGCCACAGAATTTAAACCCTGCCAGCTTGTCTGACAGCTATAACTTAATAGAAGCTTGTGACTCATTTCTTACATTTTCACTGTTGGCTTTTGAGCTGACTGGTTACCTGTTGTATAAACAGGTCTTAGTGTTAATACTTAGCACAGTTATAGTATAGAGACACTGGGTGGTCTCAGTGCCCTTTGGATTTCTGCAGGGTCTGTTTACAGCAAGGCAAAGTCCTTGTGCATGTTAACAAGGTAAAAGAAATGAGCGATTTTGTGTTTCCTGGAGACAAAGTTGGATAATAAAACCCAAAAACCCGTTGCTGTCCAGTCAATTCTGACTCATAGTGACCCTGTAGGACAGGGTAGAACTACCCCATAGGGCTTCTAAGGAGTGGCTGTTGGTTTCAAACCGCCAACCACTTGGTTAGCAGCCGAAAGTTTAACCACTGCACCACTGGGGATAGGTGTGTGTGTGTGTGTGTGTGTGTGTGTGTACAGATACACACAGAGAGAAGGAGGGGAGGAGAGGGAAAGAGATTGATTTACTTCAAGGGATTGGCTCCTGCAATTGTAGGGGCTAGAAAGTCCAAAATCTGTAGGTCAGACAGTAGGCAGGAGACTTCTGCAGGCTTGTGGGGGGCTGACAGTCCAAAATCCGTAGGCCAGGTGGCAGGCTGGAGACACCTGCATTCTCATGGGATTGTAGGGGGCTGACAAGTCCAAAATCCATAGGCCAGGTGGCAGGCTGGAGACTTCTGCATTCTCATGGGATTGTAGGGGGCTGAAAAGTCCAAAATCCATAGGCCAGGTGGCAGGCTGGAGACTTCTGCAGGCTTGCATCCCAAGATTTGTAGGACAGGCAGTAGGCAGGGTGCAGAGTCAAAAGGGAGAGCAAGTTCTGCCAAAATATATATCTGTAGTCTGAAGCAGACCATTTCAACTGATTGATTATATTATGGAAGGTGATAACATTACATTGCATTACATTATGGAACAACAGCTAGTCTAGTGTTTGGCAAGACCGCTGGAAATAATAGTCTAGCATAAAACCATAGTTGATGCGTAAAATTAACCATCATGGCATGTTTGTCTCCAGGCCCTGGAATCCAAACTTGCATCCTGCCGGAACTTCGTGTATGATCAGTCCCCAAACCGAACAAGTGGCCCACCCTCAGGGTGGGGTAGCAAGAACAGAGACAGCATCGACAAACGGACCAGCAGCACCAGCGTGCCTTTGGGTGATAAAGAGTTAGTACCTTTTGATATACCTGCTTGGTAGTGGGGACCTGGCCATTCCAGATGGGAGACTCTAACCCCTAACCCGTAGCCATTTTTTAAAAGTTATAGGATTACATCAGCATACCTTATTGTCTACCTCTTCCCTTGAGACAGGATTGGGTGATGTCTTCTGGTCTGGGCAAACAGCCAAGGAGAGAGTCATTTTTATTTTTGATTTTGCAGCACTGACTTACAATCTTGCTGTGAGCATGTCCTGTAGAAATCACTTGTTTGGGAGCTGAACTGCAAACAGTGCCTTGCTTCTCCCAGAGCAGGGTTATTATTATTATTTTTTAATCTTTAGAACCTTCAGAAAACTGGCACTAAATTCTAGCCAGTCACCCTACTGGAAAATACAGATCTGACCTCCAGCAGTGTCATTTATTTTCATGCATAAGGAAAATCAGGGCAGCTTCCAGATTTGGCAATTTTGTAAAATATGTCCACCATCGCCGCAGGCCACGTAAGTATGACGGGTCTGTGACAGACCAGCCAGAACCAAAACCTGTTGCTGCCTCGTCAGTTCTGACTCATGGCAACCTTGTAGGACAGAGTAGAACTGCCCCATAGGGTTTCCAAGGCTGTAATCTTCACAAAAGCAGACTGCCACATCTTTCTCCTGCAGAGCGGTGGGTGGGTTCAAACTTCTGACCTTTCAGTTAGCAGCCGAGCACTTAACCACTGCGCCACCAGGGCTCCTTTATGGCAGACCAGTGACAGAAAATTCAGAACTCTTTTACCTGACGTGCACACGACTTCCAGACCTTTAGAAGTGGCCTTGTCAGAGGGGCTTCTGAGCCTGGACTTCTGTGCAGCCTCGGGAATGCGCGAGATAGATAGCAGCGTGCTTTTCTTCATTTCACGGGAGAGAAAATTGAGGCATGATGAGACACTGCTCCTGACTCTTTTGATATTCGTTCTTATATCTTGTGTGCCTTGATGCTAGCCAGTTGTAACAGCTGTCATATCAGCTTAATTTGGTTTGTTCTGTCTGAAGGTTGGGAAAACGCCTGGAATTTGGGAAGTCGCCTTCAAATATTTCCTCACCATCGCTGCCATCAGCCCAGGGTGTAGTCAAGATGTTGCTTTAGGAAAACCACAGAAGCTGAAGCCCTGGTGTTTGTTCAGAAATTGTTACCTTTCTTCCACTCTTTAAACTAGTTGGTTTTTTTTGTTGTTGTTGTCGTTATTGTTTTATGTTTAGTTTGAGAAAAAATAGCCAGCAGTCACCATAGTTAGCTTTGTGCTTTGTGGCCCAAACACATGACTTGAGGCTGTCATCAGTGGCTCCTGGTGCTTGTCCTGGTGAAAGGTTGTCTGATGACCCCCAAGCCCCACTGTTGTTGTGTGTGGCAAAGGGACAGGGGCAGACTGGATCCTCTGGGAAGAGCTCTAAGGGGTGGGTGATGAGACCAGGGTTTACACTAACCCAAGAATCCCCAGTGGTCTGGAGAGGTGTTTTAAATGTCTGGAGACTCCATAAACCTAGGTGTCTCTGAGTTCTTCCCAGAGGCTCACATCTGCTTTTCACGCATTCACCCCCAGCCCCCACCCAGCTGGAATTCTCCAGAACAAAATCTGCAGTGCTTTATGAAAGCACAGTAAGGACTGGTGGACTTAAATCATGTCTAGAAATAAAGAATGGACTAGGCATATGCCTTTTTTAAACAGTGGTAGTGCACCTCTGAGACATTTTAACCTGCCACTCATTGAGGCTTTTAGAAGTGAGGTTGAGGAGAGTAAATGTCCTGCTGACCCAGGGTCAGGGGAAATCTGTGTCCTCTTTAGGTAAGTCCTGAGCGTTAGTTCTCCTGCACACCCCCGTGTGGGGGTGACCTCAGCTTCCGGACCCTGGGGGTCACGGAGCAGAGTGGCCTTGGCAGTGCAGTCCCTGCGAACAGGACTTCATTCAAAGCCATGATAAATTAATCGCTGACCTTCAAATAAGATGAAAACACCAGGATTGTTGTTGGAAGCTTCCTTTTCAAACAAGGAAATGAACACAGGATTTCCAGCACTTGACGGTGTGTATCCATCCTCAGCACTGCTTGTTATGACTACATTCTCACACTTTCAGAATCAAGTAAAAAAACACCACACACACATACTAATTTCAGGAGCATGCTCATCCCTTAATGACTTTCCTGTGATTACTAAGTTATTTTCCGAAAGAACAGCAAAAATGTCTTTGACTGAAAATAGAAATTTTTAAGTGCTACTGAAAGCCCCAGAAGAACTAAACTGTGCCTGGTTTGTTACCCCAAGAAACCTCCTTAACCTGTATCCGTAAAAGATGTGCTTTTATTTTTTTAAAAGAACAATAAAAATCAAGAGAAATCACTGTTCAATTAGTTGGTGGTGGTGTTTAATCAATACTGATTCATATGTTTGTACTTCTGTTTGCACACATGGTGGTGGGAAACAGTTTTTTATTTTTAACCAACTCACTAAATATGAAAAATATTGAATGTTTTAAAAAAATTCCATGCAAGTCGGCTTTTTAGGAATGTGTTTGGGATATATTTGTGTATTGCTAAAGGCATACTGGCATTTGGTCATTCAGCTGAGTTTTTTTTAGTTTCTCTCTTTCTTCTCCAATCTGTTTTATCCCACGGGTTGGTGTATGGAGCAGTCTGTGTTGAACAGAACCGTGGCGAGCCGATCTCTGCTGAGACTCTCAAGCTGAAGAAGGAAAAGGCCCACAGCTTGTGCGTGTACAGCCCTCGAGCAAACAATGGTTTTTACGTTTTTAAGGGGTTGTTTAAAAAAAAAAGACTATGCGGCAGAGACCATACATAGCTTGCAAAACCTAAAATACTTACTATCCAGCCTTTACTGAAAGCTTGTTGACCTTTGCTGGGTGAAAGAAGGCAGTAGTAGAAATCTTGTATTTTAACTTAAAAATTCCAAGGATGTTTTATACTACTCATATTATGTACATATCAGTTCCAATTAATAAAGATGTTCTTCCAGGTCATCAGTGGACAGTCCAGGAGGCGGTGCTGTGCTGACCCCAGCACATCATCCTACTCCTCTGGCCTAAAGCCGCCCATATCCTGACTGGAGAAGTTCCCTCAGACGTTTCACTTTGTCTCTCTCTCTTCTTGAGATCGTTTGTGAGAAGAGATCTGTCAGATCTTGGGCAACTTAGTCTACCTCCCTAGGTCTCAATTTCCCCACTGATGAAATAACCCTGACTTCACAGGCTTGTTGTGACGATTCAGTGAGAACCCCTGCCCCGTCCTCTCTTTTGCTCTATAGGAGATCGCTCAACAGAAAAGCCCACTATATTCCAGTGATTTATAACCGTTTATTAGTGCATATAATTGGGGTGCATATAAAACAGTGTAACATTCCTGCTCTTAACCGTCTGAGCAGAGTTTCTCTTTTTTTAAAATCCTTGTGACTAAAGAAGGCACTTGGTCTTGGTGAATTGTGTGTGTCAGAGGTGTGGTAACCAGGAGGGAAAAAAAGAATTCTCAAACAAGGGCCAGCTCAAGGAGTTTGAAGGGTACACGGGATAGGGAATGATTTGGGAGTGGGGCGGGGGGGCATCAGCACCAATTTTGGTGACTTCCTCCCCATTTCATGAAAACTAAGTTGCCAGTGATTGGTTACTGTGATATATTTTTCTAAACTCAAAATCTCTGCACAATTCATCGATAGAGCGAGAGGGTGTGTTTGTGTTTTCTGTTGGGTTTTTCTCATCTGGTACAGCATAAAACTTAAATTTATACCCTGAATACAGGGTGGTGTTTTTATATTCATTGTGATGGGTGTCTGTGGTGTTTGGAATTTGAAAACGGATTTTGACAGTGCTAAGTATTGTCTGCTGGGTTTTGTCTTGTTCAGTTTTTTTCCTGCTGAGGTGCAAAACCCGCCAGTCGCTTATTCACTGGCTTTGGTTCCGTTGAAGTCCGCGTCACGAGCCTCCGTGTCCTCCTCAGCACCATCCGCGTTTTCAATAACTCTCCGTCCTCCAGACCTTCTAGAGGGAACGAAAGAGGTCTCGTTTCCTCGCCTGTGGGTTGTAAGAGAACGTTTCCTTAGTAAAAAAAAAAAAAGTCTCCCTGAAAATTGGAATAGATTTCTTTTCTTAATAAGGGGCAAAACCAAACAGAGACAAACTTAAATCATTCACAGATATTCAGGTTGAAGTCAACAAATTCTGACCTCTCTTAAGGTATTTAATCAGCTGAAATGGGGAGGATTTAGGCGTTTCAAAGCAAGATTGTCTGCTTTAAAAAAAAAATGTTTGGCTCAACCATTTAGTAGCTCACAGGATTCTGATCTGCGGCCTTTTATTTTAAAAGAAAAATGAAAAGGGAGATGGAGATTTATGCTTCCCTTTGTTTTTTATTCATCCCTTGTGGGGCAAGAGCTGCCCAGTGGTTTCTGGCAGGGAGTGGAGGGTGGGGGGAAGCAGGCTGAGGAGTGGGACAGAGGATTCTCCTTGGCTAAAGAGCAAGACAGCACCCCCTGCTAGTGTGGAGCTTCTTGGACTGAGTTCCATCAGGGCGGGATTGTGTCTGTTTGCTCACGGTGGTAGGCGCTGTGTGTGAATAGATGCTCAGCGAATATTTGTTAGAAAAATAAGTTACACATAGTAATAATCTGAGGTGTATTTTACCTCTAGCTGGTAGGATGCCCCTCTCTCTGTCCTTACCTTCCCCTCCCTCTCTTCTCTGGTCCTGCCAAATGCCACCTTTGAGTTACCAGCCAGGCCTGCCCTGCTTTCACAGGAAGGGCTGGTCATGTGAAGTGAGATTTTGGGTGGGGGGTAAGGGGCTGAGGTGGGCAGGAGGAGGAAAAGCCAGACCCACCTGCAGTTAACCTTTGCTGTTTGGAAGAAGCGTTAGAGGTTTTCAGGATCACAACAAATAATCACTATTGGGTTCATTTGACCTGAATTGGAGCACAGGCCTAAACTCATTTCAGGATGTCTCAGAAGAAAGCAAACTTTTTGTAAGGAAAATGACCTGCTCATCACCCAAAGGCTGGATGGAGAAGTCACGAGGGTAAGCCCACCCCAGTTACCAACCTTTAGTCAAAAGAAACGACTCAGACAGTTAAGACTAGAGGCATAAGCAAGGTCCAGAGATTCGTGATCGCTGAGAAAGGGAGTCCCGACGTGAGCCTTTTGGGGGAAGGGGTGTGTGAGAAACCCAGCTGGTAAAGCCCACCCAGCTTCAGAGGGTGGTGCTTCCCGAGGTGCAGCGATCAGGAATAAATACTTAAAGTTGTAGCCATCCAACTAGAGAGTCTCAGGCCAGCTCCACTCACTCTGGAGGGAAGCTTTAGGCTCCAGCTCCCTTAGAACTAACTTTCCATTACTCTCTTCCTAGGAGTGACCTGTAGAAGCCGTATTCTGTAGCACTAGGTTTTCTAAGAACTTGGGTCCAACAGAAGGGGTCCCAAAGTGAGGGGTGAAAAGAGCAGGAGCAATAGTAGTTTGCACTGTTGGCTGTATGTCTGTCTGTACAGATCCTTCCACCTCGACCCTCCAGGTTCAAAACCAGTGAGAGGCAGGCGAGAGAAAGGCCTTCTCAGCAGGATTCCCCAGGACTTGGAAATAGTACCTAATCTGAGCTTCAAGGCTCCAGGGACTCTTGTTTTACCTTTTGGGAGAGTCAGTATTTGCTAACTAGAAGAGAGTTCAGTGGATAAGTTTGTGCCCCTGATCTAAGAAGTAAATTGTGCCCTGGGTCGTCGTAAGCCCTGCTGGGACGCCATTCCCACAAGGAATGTTCTGGCTGCGGTGCCTCTCAGAGGAGATGGGTTTCAAACCCTAGGCAAGGGCTGCCCCTGGCTATGTCTGCTACAGAAGTAAGGGACCCCTCTAAAGGTTTTCTTACAGAGTCTGATCCTGGAGAATTTGGATGCTATTCATGGACTCAGAGAACTCCTCCAGGGCACTGTTGTCACACCAGATCTAAGGACAAGAGGGTAAGCACCCTGCCACTTTGCAAGGACTCAGTTTCCCTCCAACTGTTGGGTCCTTCACTCCAGCCTACCCTTTATTTCAGCTTATTCCTATGATTCCAATTAGAGTGGCTCAAAAGCTGTGGGTCCTACAGACATACCTGCTCCCCTGTGAAACCGACACTAAAGCTCTTGCCAACACCTCTTCCAGCTTTAAGTATTTGGGTAGCGACAGCAAAGCTGAGATTCTCCAAAAGAGAAGATGGACACAGCTAGGGCTTGTTTGGCCTCTCAAGAGGTGGGGAGAGGGAAATCAGGCCCCAGTTGCCTAACTTCACATTGAAAACGTTGTTACACTTCAGAGAGGTAGAGCCCTCTTCACTCTCTTGTGAAGGGCCCGGTGGGCTTCCTTGAGTCTTGAGTGTCCATTCCCCTGTCCTTGAACATGGCTGTGAGGCTTCTGGACAAGGGTCTGCAAGCGCTTGGTTTTGCAGTGCCCGGCTTCCCCCCTCTTGCCCCAGCAATGCAGTAAGCAGCTACATCTTGCTTAAGCCTTGTGCAATCCCAGCATTTGTAAAACATCACAGCGAGTGTTCATTTCCTTTGCAGGCAAGTTTGTGAAAGCTTGATTGGGAGGACAAGTTGCTGGGCCGTGGTTGTCATGGACCTGTGCCCTGTTCTTTCTGATTTGTGAACCAGACCAGCCAGATCAAAATCAAGTACATTCTCCAGGCGTGTACCTCAATAGTGGAATTGTCATATCCACTCAGTGGGGTGTCTTAACTGTACAAGGGAGGAGAGCTGTGCATCCTAACAACAGTGTAAGAGAGGCCCTCACCATGCAGGTAAGAAAAATCTAAGCAACATACAGCCTCTAAATCTCATTAATACACGGTGATAAGGTCCCGTTGTTCAGTGCCGTGTCGTATGCCAAAGCGCCGTCCAGAAGAGAGGAAGGAAAATGGGTCGAGAGATGAGGTCTTAGAGTCACATTTATCTTGGTTTTGATTCAAGACAGTTTTGAACTAAGATATCCAGGCCTTCAGATTTTGCAGGAATCTCACGGAAATTTGCAAGGGCCAAAAAAAGGAGGGTGGGGGGCGACGGGAAGAAAGAAAATAGAACTGAGTGCAACACACATGAGCTGCAAAGCTGAAGGCATGATACCTGGTGAGTCATTGCGGAGTTTCCTGGGGGAGGGGGCCTCTGAAACAGAGAGAGAGTCCCTGGTGGTTACCAGCAGCAAAACGAAGGTACCCATTTAAGTACGTTTTTAATAATTAAAGGCATTTGCTTCAGTTAAATAACTAAAGGCACTTTTAAGTAAACCTTGCAGCCAGGCTCCTGAAGCCAAAAAGTCTTAGACTGGCACATAAAAGACAGTGCAGTTTTTTTTAATTAAAAAGAAAACGTCTATACTTCAGAACTCCTTTTAAGAAGGCAGGGACCTGTGCATACCTGTTCTGGAAGGAAAAGGCATTTGGGTAAGCTAGTCCAAAAGATCAGTGTTGGAACAGAAGCTGAAATGTCCCAGGCCAGGCCCCTGCAGTGGCATCTTACTTTATTATTATCACTTGGTCTTTGTTAGTTACCTTTTACACCTCTAGCAAGAAGGTAAAGGTGGGTACCTTTTGCAGCTCGTGTTGGAGATGACTGGCCCCATGGCAAATGGTACGTAGGTTGGTCAGGCTTTAAGAAGGGCTTGTGTTGAGATTTAGGAGTCCCTGGATGGCGCAAATGGTTAAGCGCTTGACTGTGAACCAAAATGTTGGCAGTTCGAACCCACCCAGAGGCTCCTGGAAGAAAGGCCTGGCGATCTGCTTCCAAAAGATCACAGCCTTGAAAACCCTGTGGAGCGCAGTTCTACTCTGCAACACGTGAGGTTGCCAGGAGTTGGAATCAATTTGATGGCACCTGGTTTGGTTTTGGTGTTGAGATTTATCTGGCTGATGAAATAGTGTGACACTTGCTTTGCAATTCCTTGTTCACCGTGGAGCTGGCTGAGCTCACCAACCTCACTTAAAGCCCTAGTGCTTGATTTTGTGCACCCGAGACTCGGACAAGGCGGA